TATATATATATATATACTCAGGACCCGGCGATTTTGACCAGAGCGAACGCACGTCGAAGGTGGTCGGGTGTGACCTGCAAATCTTTCTGCTGCAAGCGGTCGGCGCTGTAGACTCCTGAGAAGATTTCGTAGACCAGCAGCAGCCCGGCCAAAACGCCGATGTGCCACGGCGCAGCGCCGAGGCGGGCTCCACCAACAGGATCTGCACGTTCCCGGGCCATGTGGGACTGCACATTCAATCCACCCTGGTAGGACATGTGCATTTGCTGGGCTTCGGGAGTGAGATCAAGTTTCATATGTGGCACGGAAAAATATTCCGTGACCCGCAGGACTGCCGCTTCAAGTTGGAATTCAGGAGGCACAGGAAAAGCTCTGTTGGCCACACGCCATTCAGCGGTGAAGCCAGACGGCACCCTGGGATCCCTGCGGAATCGCAGGCGGCTCATGTTGCCGTCAAGCAGGCGGACAGGATAGCCCGCGGAAGATGGCAAGTAGTCGGCTGCAAAGTCTTGCGTGGCAGGGAGCTCTGGCGGCATCTCGCCAGGAAAGGTTTCCTTCCATTCAGCTTGGGCAGCTGCTGGAGAAGTAGCCTCTTTGGCGATGCCGAGCATTTCGGCCACTTCCGCCGGCAAAGGTACCCAAACATGTCTGGGTGTCCCTGGCAAGTTCCAGGGCAGGTATTTCAAGAAGCGCAACAAACTGAAAGCTTCCTATACCCTGACCACAGGAGTGTTAAGGCAGTTTTGAGGATGTCAGCAACGACCCGAACAATCAAATGGTCCTGTAAACAAACCACAGCTCGGTTCTCCCAACAAACCCAGCGAACCGTCAAAGGGTGAACAGGAAACAGCTCAAGACGTCCTTGCCTGGTTCTAAGATGAAATCGTCGGGGAGGTCTTGGTGCGGCTGGACGGGCTTCCCAGAAGCCACTAGAAATCTCTCTTTGCATGCAACTTGATGCGATCCACTCTCGCCACGCTCCATGGGAAAGAACTGCGACGGGTGAATGTTTGTGGTCACACCTAGCGAGATGTTCCGGGAATCTGTTTCGCCAAATGAACCCGCCGTCTTGGTTGCTCTTGCCGCGGAGCCAAACTGCAAAAGTTTGTTGAGAGAGGATTGATGCGGGCTAATCTTGGTGGATGCTTTGGCTGAAAGCTTCTCATCAGACAGCAAACCAAAAGAGGTGAGAAAATCATACGCTTCGTCGAGGTTCCCAAGCACTCCATACCACCGGCGGCCGTGCCAGAGATGTGACCCACCTGGCAACTTGCTTCCATTCTTGACCTGGTCAAAGTCACTTGCGCATCTATGAAACCACTCCTCAGGGGTTGCGCTTGCGATGGCGGATGATAGCACCACAGCCGCAACCGGTTTGGGCCTCGGGTCACAGCTTCAAAGTCAAAGGCGCGAGACACCTACAAGCTTTGTCAACATGAAACACAGAATGAAGCAACAGCTTCTGGAACTAAAGCCAGCTCTGGTTGGTGCTTGTTTCGTAGTTCTGTTCAATAACACGCATTGTTTATCCGAAACCGCGCCTCTGACCAGCAGCAGTGCTTTCATCATGCGTGAAATCTTGTTCCACTGACATCTGGTTCAAGAAGGTTTGAGTCTTTTGCCGGACATGGGAATCCAACACCCTGGTGATGCTGTCAGCATGGCTGGTGCATGAGCTCTTTCGTGTTTGTGAATAGTTCACGTTGATTCCAAAGGCAACCAAAGGACTGCTTGCCGTGGGAAAAATCTGCACAGCAGCTCCGTTCGTCAAAGGTGCCATCATCGATAACAAGTGCAGTGCATATGGGTACTCAGGGTGCGATGCGCGGACGGCCCATGTTTGACACATCTGGTGGCCTTTAGCCGTGAGGATGTCAGCTGGTTGCCACATCTTCCCCACAGCATCCCAAATCTTCTTCATTGCCGGCAAATATTCAACATCCCGGCTCATTGCCACAACGGACGCAGCAAGGGCCAAGAGGCAAACAAAATAGCTTTCTTCTGCGAAAGGAAAAACGGCTGCGGCGTCAGGTCATCCTATAGTTTGCGACCCATTCGTGTAGTTGCCTTCCCTTGCCGCACAGACAAGCTATTTGACGAACACTTGTTCCCATCAAAATAGAGTTGGGAAGTCTGACACCAGGGTGTGCATGTGTGTGTGATTCTTCGACCATGAGCTTTCCGCAACCCAGGTCCTGAGGTGCAGCAGCCACATCATCTGTATTGTGCTTGGCGCAAAAGAGATGCCCAAGCGCAGGGGTAGCTGGGCAATTGTGCCGGAGTGTTTTGTTGAGAGAAAGAGACTGCTTTCTCCCGCACAGCAACGCTGCGCATACAGCCCGCCGGTTCTTTGCGTTCCCGTCCATGACAATGACATCTCGCCGCATGTTTGCTGAGCGTGCTGAAGCCACGGCAGCATCTGAAAATGCTTTTTGTAAAGCAGGAAGAACAGGTTTCAGCAAATCTTCAACTCCCTGATGTATGTCAATGGGGTTCTGCGCCACACCCGGGATATTGTAGGCGTACCCTCGCACAAGCAACCGCCACTTGAACCAAGCCTCGCTGATCATTTTTTCTGAGCCGGGCCACTGGCAGCCAAGCAGTCTGACCGTGTCTGACTGCTCTTTGTTGAATGACGTCACTCTCACTGATGAAGCTAGCGTGTTGGCGGACAACACGGCTGTGAAAATCTTCCAGCCATTCGATCGAAAAGCCAAAAGATGATGAAACCATGAAGCATTTCAAGTCTTGTGGATGTCCCAGAAAGAAATGTCTTCCAGCGTCTACGAAGTAGTTATGCCAAATCAAGCTGCCATACATATCACAGTTCTTGTTGCGACAGCGACACGGTATGTGGTCCTTCCTGACCAAACCACCTGTGTGCACTATGGTCGCTACTGCCTTGGCAGATGCAATCTTTGCGAGGTGCGAATCACACCGTGGGCAGGACTTTTGGAGTGGCAACAATTCTCGGAAACAGGTTTCACCGCCAAAGACAGGGAGGCAATGCCCGATCTCTGCACTAAGACACTCAACCACGCGTCCAGCCACGGCATCGGGCACAACTGCTGCCGGGTCTGCACTGGTCACGGCATCTAGCAAGCAAGCGAGTCGCTGCTCCATCCGCGCAAACCATGTGCTTGACAATATGTATAAGATAAGAGAAGCACAAAAAGGGTTGCGCTCGAAACAATGACTATATGCTGCTTTGCAGTCTACATGTGCAAACTTCATGTATACACGTGTATGTAGTAGAAGGGCGCATGCCCCTACCACAAAGCGGCCGTCCAAAGCTGTCTGGGTGGAAATCAGCATCCGTGAAAGGTTTTCAAACCATGTCAAATCTCTTGGTCAACGTCTTTTCTCTCTCTCTCTCTCTCTCGCGTGCTCGATCCATCCGTCCATCCATCCATCCATCTATCTCTCCCTCTCTCCCAAAGCCAGACAATATGTGTGAGAATGTGCGTGGGATTTGGTCTTGCTCCGCTAATCCACTGGTCGATCCGCTGATCTGCTGATCCGCTGGTCCGCTGATCCGCTGATCCGCTGGTCCGCTGATCCGCTGATCCGCTGATCCGCTGGTCCGCTGATCCGCTGATCCGCTGATCCGCTGAGCCGCTGATCCGCTGATCCGCTGGTCCGCTGAGCCGCTGATCCGCTGGTCCGCTGATCCGCTGCTCCGCTGATCCGCTGCTCCGCTGATCCGCTGATCCGCTGATCCGCTGATCCGCTGGTCCGCTGATCCGCTGATCCGCTGATCCGCTGATCCGCTGGTCCGCTGGTCCGCTGATCCGCTGATCCGCTGATCCGCTGGTCCGCTGAGCCGCTGATCCGCTGGTCCGCTGATCCGCTGCTCCGCTGGTCCGCTGCTCCGCTGCTCCGCTGATCCGCTGATCCGCTGATCCGCTGATCCGCTGGTCCGCTGATCCGCTGATCCGCTGGTCCGCTGATCCGCTGATCCGCTGATCCGCTGATCCGCTGGTCCGCTGATCCGCCGGCAATGGTTGGACAATATGACGGCCATGAGTGTGTGGACCACCTGCAAAACCTTTAAGGATTGGTGTCCCCACTCAATAATAACATTTCTTTGTTGAGATTGGTGGAACATTCCCCTCACAAAATGGACGTGTTGGGGAAAACCATATCCCGTTTGATGGGTGGATCATGCTCTGGTCCCCTCGTTCACTTTTACGGTTTGAACTCCAGGGATGATGTCCGGCTTGGGTGTGTGTGGAGGAGGATCTTCACCTGATGGCCTCCACTTGGCAGATTTCGCAGCGCATGGAGAAGGGGTGGAACCCGAAGGCAGCACCTGAGGTGCAGAGTGTGGTGCAAGCATGTGCGAGCTCCACTTGAGGTGAAGAAATTCAACCAGCTGATGGAACTCTACCAGTCCAGCTTGTGCTCATTAGCTTTTTCACTGAAACCATCCAGCTTGTCTTCGTCAACATGCTGAAAGTCATTGTTCAAAGATGCACATAAACCTTTGAAGGTACATATGATCCAGGCCCTCCACCAAATTCGCAACTTTCTCAAGGGCACACAGCTCTCCCAGTAGTCTCTCAGTAAGAAGTAGTCTCTACAGTGTCACTACTGAAACAAGTTACCTCAAGACGCATCTGTAAAAGATACGGCTATCTTGCCAGGCTTTCAACAACACCATGTTCGCCCGACGGCTCGTTTTTATCCGACCTGCCGCGATCGGTGGACCCGTCGACGTTGGGTGGGCGACGGGGTGGCCGTGCCCCATCTCCGGTCTCCTGGTGCGCGCGCCTCTCCGCGGTGGTGACCCACCTTCGTCCCGAGGCCATCTTGGACGGTGCCATGCAAGGCCTACGGCCGGCCCCCTCCTTGGAGTGGCCGGGCACTCCCAGTGTCGGAGGTGTCGGTGAGTCCGTCGATTTGTTTTTGTTCTCGAGCGCCTAAAAGGAGTGGTGCCCACCAGGTGGTTTGGAAGAGTCAGAGTCGGAACGGTTCTTACAGGTGGACCGTTATAGCGCAGAGGTGGTTTGTTGCGAACTGGGATCTGAATTGTAGACTCTGTAGATACTGTAGACTCTTGATTATACTTAAGAGAAAGACGGTATTGGAAAAGAACAAACGAACTATCCAGAGGTTTTTCCATCCATGTTTGGAGGATACGACTCAAGAGTCCACATGATCAACCGATCAACCCGTCCAGACGCACAGAACGACCAAGGGTTGGGGTTTGGAATGGACTGGCAAGGGTAGAGGATGTTGTTGGACTATGAGACTATGTATGAGACTATGTTGGATGCAGGCCAGGATGTTGGAGCTTGGGGTTTTAGGATGTTTTAGGGTTTAGGGTGACCTTCTATGTCTCCGGCTCCGACAGCCCAATTGCTTTCTGACAGCTGGTAGTCTTTCTGTCCGTTGTGACCGATGTCCACCGTATTTTCGGGGGGTCCTGGACGTCGGTTCAAGGGCCACAGTGTGTTCAATGGGCTTCGGCCTTAAGAAAAGATTCGCTGGGTTTTGTTAGAGTCCAAGCGGAATTGACCCGAGGATTGAGACCATGGCAGCCATAGTGCTTGAAGTTGTGTTATGATCATTCTCTGCCTGGATCGCACAAGAGATGCCTTCAAGTCGCTTAGTCGCTTTGGTTGGATCCAGGTAGATGGAGAAGATGAAACGCAGCTTCGCCAAGAAGAAGGTGATAACCTTTTCATTGTGGCCTTGAATTCTTGTATTATCGCACATGAACATCAGTCCTGTTTCTGTTTCTGGATTGTGATGGCCTAAACGAACCAGCAAGACTAACCTGCTAATTAGTCTTGGAAGCTGAACATGTTGGAATCATTTGGAATCGATTTTGTTTCTTTCGGACTTTGTCAACGTCTTGCCACCCGAGCGAGAACTCAGCAACGCAAAGCTGAACTCGGACAGGTGAGCCAGATCCATGCAGTCGGCCACCCATGCTTGGCGAGTTCGGTTTAGAATGTTTAGGTGAAACGTTGCTTTTTCATGCTTTCCCCCAAACAAGCTTACCGGATTCTATGCTTTTTGGTGCAGCTGCAAGAAAACGGGTTCACACAGGATCTTTTAAAGCTTGTCTCATTGGAGACCTCCGTGTCCTTGATTAGGAAGCTTTTTCAAGATTCCAAAAACACTCCTTAGCGGCTCAGGAACACCATGGAACACCCATATATCCTAAATGATGACCCTCTCCATCCAACTTCTTCCAGTTCGCCGCAAGGCGGCCTTCCCGCTCTCCTTGGTCTCCGCTCCTTCCCCGCAGCCACTTCGCTCGTCCCCCCCGTTTGAGGCTGTCGACGGTGGCCCACTTCTACGGCTCCTTGCGGCCGGGACCTCCGCTCCCACGCCATGTCTTGGAGGTGCACGGATCGATTGGGTGCTCAACTGGGGGGGGGGCGAGGGCACGGAGCCGCGCGTGGGGTGGGGTGGCTGGTGGAAGAGATTGGACACCAGGAGACAGCAAGCAGTTTTGGACGAGTTCCGGGGAAGAACCGTTGGGTCTCAGGGCTTCTGGTCGTTTCCTTGTAGGAGATCAGGGCTGGCCGGGGCTGTACAAAGTTTGTATACTTGCGCATGTGTGTATTAGTATTTGCATGTAGCAGTTCGGCATCCATGTTACATGGCCTGGTATCATTTGTTCGCTACATAGTTCACCCCTATTAAAAGACTTAAGAAACATCGATGGCAGTTGAGTGGAATTCTTTGTACATGCGCCGTGGAGCCTCCGCGTCTAAAGAGAAATGATGCCAGGAAATGTCCTCAACAACCTCACCACCCGATGTTCTTTGTTGCTAGTAGCGATGGCCTCCACCTAATAGCGTTCTCCACCTAATAGCGTTCTCACTAGTAGCATGTCGGCTGGTCCCCCGTCACCCGTTCTCACTTGCAGTTCCAGGACTGTGCGGATCTGGCGCTGAAAGGAGACGAGGCGAAGGAGTCGGGGACCGGCGATCTTCGCACGGCGCACGGAGTCGCGATCCAAAGAAGGGTTGTTCACTAGACTAATTTGATCACCTTTAATGGAAGATTAGATCGGGTGAGCAAATGTGTTCGATAGAGGTCGAGGGGATGGGCGGTGGGGAAAGACACCGAAGACACAAGAGCTGCTAAGTGTCTTAATGGAGTTTCTTGAGGTTTAAGATACACCAGAGGAACAGAGGGAGGTCGGTGTTATAGCTTCAGAAACACTTGGAGCAGAGGAGAGATTCCGCCTCAGGTAGTGCAATTCATGGCTTTCTTCCACTTTTATTGCAGATAGTCGGACATTCCACACATTTGAACACTTCTTTCAACCTGAATTTGCTTACGACCAATGAGAAACAGAGAGCTGGAGCAGTCTCGTCAGGCGTGTCTTGGACACTGAAAACGTCCCAAAACGTCCGAAAACACCAACAAGCTGGCAAAGTGAGTCAGCTGGAAGGGGCCGCAGTTGATGAGGGTGCCCTGTGTGGTTTGTGGACAAGTGGATCACCAGCAAAACCACTTGTTTCGGGGGATTGATCACTGATATTCACTGATTCATGGGGAACCAACATGCAGGTGGCCGCCGGAGTCTATGTTCCCAGCGGTGGAGTTCGTTCGGTGCACCGTTCTTTCGGGTGGATCGACCTATAGATGACCATGGGGAAGGAAAGGTTGAAAGACAGACAGAAGGTGCATGCGTTCACCCAGTCCATTCTGGGTGGTTTCAGAGATCTAGATCCCCAAATAAAATACATATGTAGAAAAAGATCTGACAAGACTAGAAAAGTAGATTCCCACGTAGAAAATGTCTTGGACACCTTGCCATCCTCTCTCTGTCTTTGGGGGGGATCACACATGTCTCATGTTTTCACCACTTGACGATGGTTGATCCTACTGACCCATCTTGTTTTCGTAAGTGAGTTGGAATAACCTAAACCCTAAAGCCTAAACCCTAAACCCTAACCATCATTGGACCATCATGATGACCCTCCGAACTGGAGGGTCCAATGACCCGACCCGAACCTTCGCGACGGGGGTGAACGGACCCGAACCAAACCGACCAACCTCACTGGAGGGTCCGACCGACTCGTCGGGGAACGAAATGAGGACGAACCTGGACGACCTTCTGGCGAAGCCTGTATACAGTAACTATATCATTTGGAAGTGCCATCACCCTGCCGTCTGAATCGGCATGCCATGGAATCACCATCTTCGGATCTGGATAATGCTTGAGATGGACTACAGATGCACTGAAGGGACCTCTGCATCGGGAACGTTGATCGCGGCCGATCGTCTATCTCAGTGGCTCAAAAATCGTGCCCGCTCGCGCGGCAGACTGGGTCGCTTTGGCCGAGTATTCCCGCAGAGACAGCAGGTGTAGCTGCTTCAGGTGTGGTCATAGAGAAGGACACATGCTCAGACGGACTCACATGCTCACATGTGCCAAGCAACAAGCCCAAAGACTCCATATAACCCTAATGGAAAAGGGTTGATTTTAAAAAACTTGACCCCTGAAGCCACCCGAATGTAGGTAACTATGTAGATGTACGCATAACTATACTGTCTGTATTGTATTTTAATTACACGGAGTCCTTGGAGTGTGTTTGTAACATATGATGTGTCAGAAGTGGACACCACTGTGCAAGTCAGATCACCCTCCAGCTTCCGAAAGACCAGAGGTGTAATGACCACCCAAAGACAAGTGAACTTGGCCCTTCTTCGAAGCTAGCATCACCACCAGCAGCAGCAGCAACAACAGCAACAACAACAACAGGAGCAGCAGCAGCAGCAACCACACCCAGACTTGCAGAACAGCGTCCATTGCGGCCAACTTCCTCGAGTCTCACTCGTTGAGCGCCACGTTGGGTTTCAAGCCCTTCCGCGAGCGTTGGAAGCTCAGCGGCGGCAGTGCACTCGTCATGGAGAGGAATGCCAAGGGAGAGGACTGACTGACTGGTGCGGATCGTGGGGTGAAGGATAGGATGAAGGGAATGACCCAGTTGAAGAGATTCCTTAGGATCCAGCCACAGTCCCCCTAGCCGTGAAGAGTTTGCACACTGGAAGTTTGGACGACTCTTTTCCTCTACGAGCTGGGACAGGTGAGAGCCGGGGGAGGGGACTCCACTCCCAGCAAAACCTAAGTCTTCTGCTAGTTGCTAGAGCTTTGGGAGCTGAATTCACAACTCTGCACTGATTTATACCAAGAGGTGTCTATAAATAACCTCTTAGAGGATAAGGGGTGTCCAAAAACCACCGGACTTGGAAGGTCCTGGTATGGAAGCCCTCGGATCGCTCCAATGGGTGGTCGCCATTTTCCCAATCGAACCCGGTCGGAACGCCGGCCCGGTGGCGGTCTCCCTATGCCAAAATATGTCAAATACACTTCCTATGTGTGGGTGTGTATGTTCAAATCCGGGGGACCATGTTCAACCTGGGGGAGGTCCCCAACAGATGGACATTTCGAGAAATTTTGGGATTTTCCCAGATTGGCACCCCGATGAGGTCTTAGACAGATGGGGGGTCCAGTCCTAAACCACCTTACTTGGGGTAACTTGTGCCATCGACCTTTAACCCGCTATAGCAGACCTGGGAGGAAAGGATTCCAAGTATCAGTGACACCTAGCAGTGTCATCCTTCAGAGTGCATTCAACTTCCTCCCCTCCCCTATGATTGTTGCAAGGACGCTACTAGGGGCTCCTGGCCTTGCTACCAGGACAAGGACGCTACTAGGGGCTCCTGGCATCGCTACTAGTAACAAGAAGCTACTAGGAGCGCTCCTTCATTGTTTTAGACTTTCCCAGGTCTCCTAGTCTCCCATGCTGTGACTGCTTTGTCCGTCAGAGGAGCTCCCCACATCCGCTGCTCAAGCGTGTGGAACATGCGAGCCCCGAGCTTCTGAAAGGCGGGACCATTCTGAAAGTGGGACGCATTGATTAGGCACCACCCAAATTGGACAGCAAGTCATTTTCTGAGAAGGGTAGGATTTTCGGATTCTAGACCTTCACAGACCTTCTATCGACTGGAAATTGGGTCTGGAGTAAAACGGTTGACTCTTTGGTTTGCTTATATGGGAGGAACAGGGCTTCTCCCGAGACATGGACGAATGCAGTGAAACTCGACCTTGGCAACCCCGGAACGTTTCTCACGGAGTGAAGCGGCGAAGGTCAACCGCTGGACCCGTATGAGTCCATCATCATGTGCGAATCGCAACTTTGGAGATTGTGAGTGTTCAGAAGTCCAATAGTTTTACTCTTTTGGATATCCCGCAACCAGCAGAATTGGACCATGATTTCATATCAGGGGGGTTTTCACGATACCTGATCAGGTCAAAGTGTTCGCAGGTTTGGATAGAGACAGGTTGTGGGACCTCAGAATCATAGGATCTCATCATGGGCACTCATAGGGGATTTCGAGTTTTCAAGTCTGGAATCTGTGAGGTGAAAGTCTAGCCCAGATACTCCATGTATATGGAGTCCGGCCAAAAGTCTATAATCAAAAAACTTAGATAAAGGGGTTGAAAGTCACTTATGATGATCTGATGTTGTTTTTTCAATTAGATTATGTAGCCCCTGCCAAACACACCTATCTGCGGCTGGGCGCTAGGTTTGCGGTAGACTTGCGCTGGTGTTTGACTTAGGACATGTTCAGAAGGTCGTCAGGTTTTGGAAAGTAGCTGGCTAGAAAATGCGCTAGCCGCGCGCTAGCACTGCGCTAGATGCGCACTAGCAAACATTGTCAGATTCCAGCATGGACCCTTCCAAAGCTCACTTGCAACAAGTCTTTTTTTTCAATTGCTTGAAAAGGCATGGAGTTCGGACAGCAATGGCTCAACTTCCTCTGAGAGCGCTAGTGACACCTCTCACAACTTGGTGCCAATACTTGTTTGGTCCGTGCTTCCTTCATCAACCAGCTGTGTGTCTGTGTGTGCCAAAAGTAAAGAATATGTAGCGGGCCCCCATGTGAACACGACATCCAGCCATGTTTGGAAGAAGATCTATGGACCAGATCCAATACATATATATATATATATAAATATGTGTGGACTATGAATGAATATTTACGGACTATTCATCTACAGGTGGTTGAAAAGAGGTCAAGGTAGGCAACCCTTCCAATTCCGGAGTCTTTCAAGTTGGCATGTTCTTTGCCCTAAGAATCATGGACCAGTCGTGGACCCTCGTGAAGGCTTGGTTCGGGTCCGCAAATAGCAGGTCATTGGACCCTGCAAAAGTGGTATCATTTTCTGTTTTGCCAGGATTTGCTAGGATACTATATATCCTCACATGGTATGTTCCAAAGGATATGACCCTGGATATGAATTTGCCCCAAAGATAGCAGGATCCTCTGGACATCGTATCCAGATTTTCAATATCATATCCAGTATGGACAAATCATGTCCAGTTATTTGGATAAGATACGATACTGGATATTTGGATATTCAGTTCACCCTTGGAGGCCTCGCGGCGGCGCTGGCCTCGACACCGCTGCGCGACGTGGAGCGACAGCGGCTGCTCCGAGGCGGAGACCGGGACCCGTCAGGGAGCCGGGGCGGAGGGAATTTGGGCCGTTTTTCATTAGGGTCGGGGATTCACTACAAGAACAAAGGGGTCAGGATCATGGATTTATCCGGTCTTGCAGCGAATCCGCCCTTTTTTTCGTGAAAAAGGGGGGCACGGATTCACTGCAGGAAACATGGCTGATTTCCGATGTGATTGATGTGGGAGGGAAGAGGGGCCTGAGGGCCTGAGGGGTCGGACGAACAATTAGATGTGGGCATCGTAGACCGTCATCACAAAAAGAAATGCGGTGTACCAGGACCATCCTGTCTGGGTGTCCTGGCTGGACTATACCCTGGATCTCCAGACAGGACACCCAGACAGGATGGGTCCAGTCTTTTTAAGGCTTCTTGGACACCATGATCCAACAATTTTCAAACGCGAAGTTATTTGTTGTTCCCATGTCATGTGGTGAGTCAATTGACTCAATCACCATGGGTCCATGACTGTCATGTTCCCATATCGGTGCCCGGTCATGACTCACGTCTGGTTTCCTCGGGGGTCGTCCATGCTGTGTGGCTCCGCTGCGCAACGGCGAGGTTTGAAGGACGCGACGCTGTGGCAGCACGCCATCGAGCACCTGGTGGCCTTGAGGACGGGACGCAGCGGCGTGCACCACTCCGAGTGGACGACGGTGGCGGAACTCGGGCGGAACTCGGGCAGAACTTGGGGATGCGTTTTGGGAATGTGAGAGGTACAGTGGAAGCTTGTTTGTGCACACCTCAGCTTAGGTGTGTGTTCATTTCGCCAAAAGGGATGGGCACGTTTCACGAACCATTTCTGACCTGACGGAGGTTCCAAGTCTCTGATGGGCGGGGGGGCGGGGTTCGGTCGAGCACGTGAGTTGCGAGCACCATCAAGTTGAGGCCTTTTAATGTAGAGACTGGGATTAATCAAAACATAGCCCCTCCCAACATGGAGTGTGAAAGATCTTGATTTATAGATGTGCCATGTAGCTTTTACTTTTGTATTAATCTAAGAGTCTACATGTACTACATGACCCTTCCTGAGACAATCATGGAAGCTGAGCAGCCTCACGAAAGTGCTCTGAAGGAGAAGAAGGGGGCAGCTGTCCCACTGATATGATCTGATTGGAGGGTCCAGTTGTACCGATCATGAGGTTTGGTGGCAGTGGTTTGGTGGCTGAAAAACGTCACTTCCGGTCGCAGGACTTCATCCCTCCGTTGCACCTTGCCACACCTTCATACTTGCGCCCAAGCTCGCGAGTGGCCATTAGCTTGGCGACTATTGCGAACGGCTGAGACATGGCTCCTTGGACCGAGTTGAAATGGGTGATGTCATCAAATCAACCGCCAGCCGACTGTCCCGATGGAAGAAAGCTGGTTTCAGTTTAGAGCTGCAAGCGAGCAGTGTTTTGAACAGCTTCATGAAAGAGTCATGTGATCCGATTAAACTCCCAGGCTGTTGCATAAAGCTAACAACTCTGCATGGCGTATTGGTTGCGTATGGTTTCGTGGAAGCAAAGGTTGGACACTCGATGTGTAAGCATTTTAGAAAGGGTTGGGTAATGACATATCTCATCATATCTCTAAAAGGCATTCTTTCCCAGACACTTCATGTATGGAATAGTTGCAGACATTTACCCCATGTATGACCTTAATGCAAGCAACTATGGAATCACATGGAATCACACATGGATAGTACTATTACCATATATTATATGACAATAATGGATAGTACAACATACTTCATGTATGACCTTAAAGATTAATGTAATCACTATGGAATAGTTGCAGACATTTACCCCATGAATGCTGTTAATGCAAGCAACCATTATACTACACATGGAATCACATGGATGTTCTGTTTGTTTGTACTTTTTCTGCGGAGGTTAAACTTCATCCCCCAGGGTCACAGGAGTTTCCTCGGGAGGACCGATGAGAACGGAGATGAGACGTTGTAAAGGCGGACTGTTTCAGATGAAGCCATTCACATACACTACACCATCGCATAAGCCAATGGCATAGGGTGCCCGGTAGGCAGCGCAGGCTGTTTTTCTGAATATGGAATATAAGGATGAATATGGTGAATAAGTCTTGCAGATGACACAAGCGCGAGAACCGGTTATACAAAGGAATTCAAGACATTCAAGACGCGGTGTGTATGATGTAGCAGGGCAGGGGTTGTGTAGATACAGGCGAAGAGCATAGAGCTCCCTTGGTCTATAAGACACTCGACTTGGCTGCTTGTTCTTTCCTTTCCTTCTTCTTTTTGCTCTCTTTCTGTTGTTCGTACTTTCCGTTTGGCGTTTCCTCCAGGGAACGCATGTCCGGACGAGGCTCACCACGTGAAATATTTGTTTGATGCCCTATACCTTTTGAGGTTGATCTACACTTCCTGGAACTAACATGGAAGTGGAGAATGGCCCCTTGGAAGACCATTTTCCACTGCAAACAGGTGGTTTTCCACTTCCATGTTAGTTCCAGGGAGAGTATAGGTTTATTTGGGGGTCGAACTATCTTTTGAGGATAATATGATTGGAGCCCTAGGGATCTGTTTCGTCGATATTTAGATTCGGATGTCCCTAGTCTCAAGCGCCCTGCGGCCACCATGCAGGCATCTCCAGCGTGATGTGGTCAGCACCTCGGCGGGAGAAATGTACCGCGACCCCGGCGGACCCTTTACTGCAAAAGGCGCTAGGAATGTGGTAACTAGGCTATACGATATATAGATGTTTTCAACTTCAATCTGTTGATTGCAAAGAAGGGCTTGCTCATTTTTGCTTGTTTCAGAGCTGCGCCTTTAATATATTTGTTTTTAAAACTGACTATGGGCGCCGCCATCACCTGGAAACCATGTCACGTCGGCCCCAAACCCATCGACCAGCCTCGCCTGCGGCTTTGTCGAGCCGAAGGGCATCGGTTGGTCCCGTCAGGTTTCAACATCCTCATCGGTCGACCCGGCTCGTGGACCCACGCGCTGCACGTGGGCGAGAGCTGCATGGTGTCGCGGCGTTCAGTTTCAAGGAGGTCGAAAAGGGTGGAAGAGCCGAATTGTGGTACAACCAGTGGCCAACTTCATGTTCATGCGTCCAAGCGGTTGAAAAGGGTGGGTATGAACCTGTATGAACCTTTAGTATGAACATGTTTTTGAAGTCTGGGAGTTACGCCCTCAACATGTCAAAGTTGGAATCATGTTACATGAATCATGACATGCATGTTGATGGGTCCAACTGTTGATGGGTTGAACTGGTTCGTTTTTTTTTTTGTTTTTTCGTTTGACAACTCCAAGGGTTCGGTGCTTCGTGTGTTTTTTTCCGGGCTAAAGAATTTGCTTTGCCCGATCTGTTCGATGGATCCTCCGTAGTTGGTATAGGGGTCTGAAACAAGATCTGAGGTTTTTGGAGGGTTTCAGGGCTGTTTCTGTCGCGTTTGGGCACTTTTCTGCATTTGGGCTTCTTCGTCGACTTCCAGGGGCAGCCGCCGTGGTGACCCGAAAAAACGAGGCGGCGATGGATGTGGAGAAGGACACCACGACTCGAAATCTCGTGATGGGACTTCATGACCAGCTGGGGAGGTCCGAAGCACACGAGAAGGTTTGCGTCGAATGGACCACGATAATGCATGGTGTTTTGAGCTTGGTGAAGGATTTCTTCTCATCAAGAGTTGAGGGGCCCTAGAGTCTTTCGTTTGTCAGCAAGCTTGACACATCACTGCGTCAAGAACGACATGTCACTGTGTCGGTTTTTTCGAAAGGGTGGTGGAAAACAATGGAAAACAGCCACTAATGACCACTACTGCTGGCAGGCTATCATGAATCGAGATGTTTCAATCATGCAAGCAGAAACATCTGTTGCCGGGTGCTTCAGGATGCTTCAGGCAAAATCCCTGTGAAAACCTTTGCATCATGCCATGGCATCCCGCTTCATCCGCATCCCGCTACATCCTGCCCTCTGCCCAGGTGGCCTTTGGCCCTTGACTTCTGGCAGCGCACGGTCTGCGCGAACTCGGGAGTTCTGGTGGCGCACGGCGGTCGCTGGGATGTGGCCAGCTACAGCATCCTCATGCGTGGCGGGACCAGCGGAGTGAGCGGATGGACATCGATCCTTTTTGAGTGGGATCCATTAGTGTCAACGTATATCAACCACTTCTAATGGTAGGGAACCAAGGTTTGCTTTTTTTAAAGGTTCTAAAGACTTCAAACCGTCGTTTCGCAGCGAAATCCCTTGGTGTCGCTGGTGTAGGGTCTGCCTTGCCTGGGATCCTTTGGGATCCGAAGCTTTCTCAACATGTTGGAATCTTTGGATCCATTCGTGACGGGACCATCTGACCCTGACCCTCATCTCAGCATAGCATGTCACCACTGTTGGATAAATGTTTTGTGTTTTTGGAGCTCGCAAGAAGGCTCGATGCCCCGGAGGGTCCGAAAAGCAAAGAAGACGAAAAGGAAAAGAACACGACCAACGCCGCCGACCAGCGGCATCCGCTGCGGCCTTCTCACAGGTGGATCTGTGGCAGATCGTTGGCCACTGGCGCTGATGTTCCTGGAGACTCCGGTCTGAGTGGAGGGAGGTGGAAGCTGTTGTCGTGTGCTTCATGAGGTCCTGGTCCTGACCGGTAGGGTGTGAAGGGAAGAACTGCAGTTTTTCAGTGTCTTTTGTGCTTTCCCGTTTCAGCAGTATGTGTGTGTTGTTTTTTTTTGGGGGGGAGGTGTTCCGGCCTTAGAAGGGCTCTCTTGAATGTGTTGTTCTCTCTCCATGGAAGGTGCAATGGCTTGGCTTTCGGAGTTGTTTTCTTCCGCAGGAGGAGATGTGGAGGGCCGAACTACGTGTCGATGTCACTGCCCTCAACACCGCTTTGAGCGTCGTGGCATGGCCCTGCACGCTGGAATTGCTGCAGATGTTTGGTACCTCGGCGGTGATGCAATAAATTCAGATTCATGTGCCAAGCACTTTGAGAGCTGTTGCTAGTGGGAGATGCCTTTTTTCAAGACCTTTGTGCTAAGCCAAACATGAGCTAAAGAGGTCACATTAAAGCTGGTGCAGCGTGTTTCTTCTCCTTTGGGCTCATTGGCCAAACCTGCCAAATGAGGGTCCTTGAGCTCTGCAGCCTGTCGGTTGTGCAGCCCGCGATGGCTTCTCATAGAACTGAATGCATGCGACGCCAGCTCCTTTGCAGACACCAGCGCTTCACGAAGTCAAACATTTGGCAGAGCTTCCGATTCCTTTTTTTGCGCTCCTTGTTCACCCTTCAACCTTTGTTCCCCGATTCAAAGAGACCGAGCGACCAGTGGTTCGACAGAAGTTGCAACGAGGTTTCCTGCGGCATAGAAATCACATAAACCACTTTGAAATCACACAAATGTTTCCGGACGTCTTCCACACAGTCGCATTCGTCAGTTCTTCTATACAATCCTTCAGCATTTCTAAGTGGTTTCATGCCAAAGGAGCGCAGCACACACGTGTCCCAAATCTATATAGTTCCCCAGAAAGACGAACGCCGCCCATAAATCCACACATCACCTCACCCGAGCATCACCCTCACCCGAATTCATCACCTCTTAGAAACACCATATGTTTCGACGTCAACGAGCACCGCGTCCCTTTTCCGCCCCCACACACCTGGCGGTGGTATCGCAATGGCGTGGACCATCAGTGTCTGTTTGCCCAGCGGGCGTGCGGCGGAGCTGGCCTTGGAACGTTCCCAGACACTGAAGGAAGTCAAAGTCAAGGCACAGGCGGGGGAGCCAGAGCTTTCTCCCGGCCACCTCCAACAGGGGTTGATGTAGGTACCCGAGGTGACGGGTGCAGGTCACAAACAAACCTCTTAAGGATGGTCCTGTTGGCAACTCATTTGATAGGGAGACCATGGGCGGATTTTTCCGAAGCTTCCAGGAGGTCGAACTCACCGTTTCGGCCTCCTCATGATTTCGTAGACTCCCAGGTTACAGGGTGTCCGGACACCTGCAGGAGGTCTTGGGGCAGAAGTTTCTCCAGCTCATCACGGAGGAGGGGACCTTTATGGATCTGAGGCACCTGGTCGAACCTTCCGTCTCGCAACACCAACCGGTCGGAGACAACGGACATGGCCAGAAGTCAGTGCGCCATGGGGCCATGGGCCGGGCACGGGCGGTTTTTCTGGACCCCCTCCCTTTCTCGCTGGCTGAGTGGACTGGATGAACCCAGGAGGTGTTTGGGAGGTTTGTCTAATGATTCCAGTTCCCCTTGAGTACCATATACATGCTGTAAATGTCTTCATATCTTCCAATGAACTCAGCTCGAGCGGCGTTGTCGTCAGCATCGAACATCGGCTGACCCGTAACGAACGAACTGGTTGACCTCCGGGGCTAGAGCCGCCCGGCGTGCCTCCACGGCGCCGCTGGCGTGAGTGCCTCCACGGCCAGCCTCCTCGTGTTTCGATGGATCGAGGCAGAACCTGGACGAAGCTGGCCTCTACCATGGTGCCAGCGTGCAGGCCTGTGTGATGACGCCACTGCTCCATTGCACCCGCCTCCTGGCATGGCGTGAGCCGGACGAGCCGAACCGGGACCGCGTTCGCTGGAAGAGGTTGGTCTGTAGGGTTGGGCAGGACATAAAGCCGTAATTAGGTTGAGCCGCTTTTTAGCTTTTTTTAAAAGGAACATGTGAAAGCATCGTTCAACTCAATTGTTGGCAGAAGAGCTTAGAGGAATGCAAGAAATCAAGAAGAGATGTTAAGAGAACACACCTTGACCATCCAAGAGGAGGGCTGTCCCATGACGGTTCCCCAAGTCGTGGAGGGTAGTCCAGCCAGGTGACTATAAACTGGATGGTCCTGGCATGTCCTGGCAGGATCTGGCATGCATTTGTGGTTTCAACAAATACTGTACAGCTCTGAGTCTGACAGTTCTTCTTCTTCTTCTTCTTCTGCTTCTTCTCCTCCTCCTCCTCTCCCTCTCTTTCTCTACCTCCCTCTCTCGACTGGCCAAATACACAGCCTTTGAGATGCAGAAGACCCGTGCAGGAATTAGCTTTTGGGCCACCATGAAGGAGAGGCGTTGCGGACTTGTGGAACTCTATACGTTTGCATTATGTGAATATCAAAGACCAGGGACGAACATCATGTGCTACACCGGGTGCTTCCAACGTGCTGCTGCTGGGGAGGGATGTGGAATCATCTCATTGAACGGTACTTGTACCGGGCTCCCTCCGGGCTCCGGACTACTTGCGATGTCGGAGGGTGTCGGAGGGGTGTATCATGGTGTAGGGAGAGGTCTCTTCCCAGTTCGATTCCCCTTGGAAGAAACGAACAATTTTCACCAGGCGACCCATTGGGGCGATCGGGTGTTGTCCTTTAAAACCAACAATTTAACATCAATTAACTATAGATTTAACTGGCAGTCACGTACACAATTCGAAGCCAGCGAGCTCATGCGAGCTCCAATCTGCTTGACGGCTGAGGTTCCTCCTTCGGCCTCCAAGTGGGGCATCGCCTGGTGACCTGGGGCGCTGCGCTTTTGGAAGACCATGACGGCTGGGACCCGCCGCTGCAGGAGAACGTGAAGGAGGTGCCGTTACTGTCTACACCGCAGGGAGGGAGGGCCGGCGCGTCTTGCGTCGTGGAGACGGTGGAGACGGCGGAGACGGTGGACGTGTCAGGTGGGACGGGGTCAGATGTTTGAGGAGAATCAAAGGGATACATTGACCTATAAAAACTATAAGACTCAAGACCTCAAGACACTCAGAGCCTTTGTAGAAGGGACGCAGGATCGATGTACTTTTGGGTCGGTTCTGGGAGATTGAGGATTGGAGTACGTTGATGTTGTTCGGACGAAAAGCCAAAACGGCCACCGGTGTCGGACTGGTGATTTTCCTGAAGTGGCTTTGAGACCTAGTGACCTTAGTGGACCTTAGTGGAGCAGATCAGCACGAAAGAAGACCTTGTAACCTAGGGACCTAGTACTTTCCGACACTTACTACCAGGACCATCCTGTGGTCCTGGCTGGACTAGCCCTGCACTGAGGGATCTCCAGACGACTTTGAAGACGACCCACACCCAGATGGGTCGGATGGTCCAGGTACTGTAAGCTCTCCTCGGTGTCTTCCGCCCTTCCACCGAAACCCTTGAAAACACCCTGGAACCCCGCCGGTTCCTATATTCTTTTGAACAAATGGGTGAAGTCACCAGAGTTTCAGCCGTTTCTCCTTGGGCCCATCGAAGAATGTGAAACATGTGTCCGCTTGAGATTCAAAGGCTTTCGGCTTTCAAGCTTATGATTCATGATGGATGCTATATATCTTTCTCTCACTCTTCAGTCAACCTATAGCGCAACCTAAAGCTAACGCAACGTGCACCGTCCCAGGTGAAATGTACTGGCTTGGCTTTTGCAGCCCTCCGGACCGACGGCGGCTGGGAAGAACGCGTGTTCATCGTGGGAGAAAGCGAGACCGCCGACCAGACGTCCGACACAGTGGTTGAAGGGGTCGTAGGTAAAGCATGTTAAAACAATAGCTTCTTGTTACTACTATGTGCGGCACCTGTTACTACTAGCGAGGCACTTGTTTCTACTAGCAACAAGTTAAAACATTCTTTAGGAGTTTTATGGAGTTTTTCGTCTTTGGAGTCTTTGGAAGACGTCCTAGCAGATTCCCCTGCACAGCTGGAGGTTTGAGTGCTCGGGGAGAAGACCGGGGAGACTCATTCTCGAGTCTTCACCCAAGGCTCGGTGGTGTGCTGGGGCCATCCCTCCTTCGGTGGTACCATGTCTGTTGAAGCCTTGGCGGCCAAAGCTGGCGACCGACGGTGCACGGCGCTGTGCGCCACAGTTGGAGCGTTTGCAGCACTGCTGGACGATGGGTCGGTGTCTTGATGAAGAGGATCAGGGGCTCCAGGTTGATCATGACCAGATAGAATGTCACACGCACAGACGCACAGTCCATCTCTTGAAACAATCAACTGCAAATGCGCTTTGCACTTGACCCACTCACTCTTTTGCACGCTCATCACCAGAATGGCGAGCCAATACCAGATCCAGAATCCTCCATCCCACCGGAACCTGAACACCTTAAAAATCCTTAAAACCTGCTGCATTTTGGGAGGTTTTTGCAGGGTTTTGCTTTGGCCCATAAGCCTTGTTTTGGTCGCGGACCCTCCGAGTTCCAGCCACTCGGGTCGCGGACTCGGAGCCTCTCTGAACCTCCGAGTTCCACGGATCCTTCGCACATCCAGGATAGCTTCTATAATCCCTAGGGATCCAGGAGACACCGAACCTCAGGCACGGTGATGTGTTCGACACTGTGATGTAGGTCGATGTGTTCGACACATGTTGTTTTTTAAACACGCATTGTAAGGCCAACACACGTATACTGGTCACATAGAGCATGGTGAATTGCGGATTCGACAGTTCCCACGTGGTCGTGAAGGAGGGTACCGGTTCCGGTTCCGACCCAACTTCGGACCGACCGGAACGTCCTCCAGCTGGGCTTGGTATCCCCAAACCGAAGAGGAATGTCTCCAAGCTGAGATGGATGTGACGTCTAAGGTGTCTTGGTGCCCTTTTCGACCCAGTTAAGTGTGTACTTGGACTCCAGACAACCAGGGCAGGGTGCCAAGAAGACCTCGAGACCGATTTTTCTTCGGTGCCTTGAAATGTTAAGATCTTTTAAGTATACTTCTACTTCTTTCACAGATGCTTAGGGTGCCATTACCAGTCGGTGATGTCCGGGGCATAGACCGATAGAAGACCTCTTAGAGCTCCGGTCGGTCCCACATGAGCAGCTCCAAGGTCATTGCCTGGGGCAGCCCACAACTCGGCGGCGTCATCGGTGCACTGGCGGCGTTCGTTCGCGCGGTTTGCGCGCGGAATTGGCGCGCAGAAAACTGGTGGGTGTGGGGAAGCCTACAAACATCTACAAGACCATGATTTCA